TTTCCAAAGGCTTTCTCAAGTACCCTAGCATCAAAACTAGGTCTCCAACTAAGTTTATTTGTGAGCTCAGACTCTGGTGATTAGACAGGTTCTGTGTCTCATTTGCAGTTATCAGCAGATAGTATCAGCGATATCTCATGTCTACTTGATTGGTTTCCTGTTTGGTAAATGATGTATCCTGCAGTTTACAGCATTACAGATCAGTTTGAACTATTTAGATCAGAAAGAATGGCTGTCCCCTCCAAAAAAGGAGATTTTTCTTTCTGTTGAACTTTGAACCTGTTTGAGGGTTATGAAATTATTAGATCAGATCTTGTTCACTGTCTCTACATGTCAGTGCAGCTGGCTACAAACCTGAACATAACAAATTACTAGGAAAAAGGTTTTGGGCTCACATGTTTAAGCTGGGTCTGTTCTGCTAGTTGGCAGAAACTGCAGCTCAACATTCAAACTTGTATATGATTGCCCAAACCTAGTCTTTTTGCCATGCCATCCATCTCTGATGTTTATATTTTCCAAATGGATGATTTCACCTCCTACGTAATCCATGGCACCATTTTAGAGTAAAGAATGAGGAGCCCGAAGGCTTTCAAGGTGCAATAACAGCCCAAGCCCTCCTCCATTTGCCTAAAGAATGCTCTTATTCTCAGAAGTACCTTGTGTTTCCCAAGTATAGTCGAGCCAAAAAAAAAAAAAAGCAGCCAGACACTTAGAAGAAGACAGGTGGGAAAATACAAGAGAACATCTAGATGCTGCTTTGAGTAACAAAAGAAAATCATTGATACACTTGGCACTTGGCCAGCGCAGCTCCCAAACTCCTCCATCAAACATCAGAATTACTTGTGTATTACATTTAAAACTTGATCTCCTGCTGAGTGATTTGCATGGGAGTCTATAGGATTTACACAGAACCCAGTGAGTGGCATGGGGAGTTTTGGTGTATGCTGTTGCCCAGGATGTGTTGGGGCAACAGTTTCCTTTTTGCTTTTGCAGCAGGTTTAAAATATGTACCTTTTCCTTTTTAGTAAACATTCTCTGTCTCTCCATTCTTCTCCTTGTCTCTATATCTCTTTCTTTGCCTCCTTCTGTCAAAATAAATCTAGCTGCCATGCACTGTAGTTAACTCAAAATATTGCTAGCATTAAATGTGCCCAGACATTTTTATTAATACATTAAACTTGCATGAAATTTTTAGGCATTATAATTTACCAAGCTTACACCAAGATGGCATTTGAAACTGACACGAGCTATTAATTAAAAAAGAGGACATTAAATAACTGTCAGTTGACATCTAAATTACTGTTTTGTTAGCTGACAGAAGCTTGCCTCAAGCCTCTTCTCAAGTGTTAGTAAATATCCCATTGAGTTTAAGAGCATCCCATTATGAACTGATTGTTTAAATCTTGATGTTATATACCTGACTGAATAAAGGGGTAAATGCTGTTAATTTTTTCACAATGAGTTGTCAGCATCATGTGGGTGTAGAAAAACTTCTGGTTTAAGTATTTGGAAAAATACCAAGGAGCACACATCAGAATGCTTCCTGATTTTCATGAAAACCTGTTCTTGGAACATGTTAGTTAGGATCAGTACCAGCTAAACAGGGTTCTAGCATAAAAGATTATCTGCATCAAGGCCTTTAACTGGTACGAAGCTGAGCAACTCCATTGATTGTTAGGTTACTTCGCTGGGTGACACCCACTCAGAGTATGTGCCAACTAGGGAGAGTTTAAGATGCTTGTGGGAATAATGATGTGAAATTTAAAACAGAATTTGGCTGAAGGTGAATTTGACGAGTTCTCTATCAGTTGCATTTCCTGATCAAAAATACTAATAATCATCACTGATCAATCAGAAAACAAAGTTGTGTGCAGAAGAAATGCCAGTTCTCCTCTCCAATTCTAAAAGGACAGTGTCTTAATTATCACTGATGGTTTCAGGTTGCCTGTATCCCTGAGGGATTCAGGATGGCCCTATTATTGGTTGGAATACATCTAGAATCAGGTGATTTCAGATAATGGACTTTGCTTTATCAAAATCTTTTCCAGGACTAGCCACTGACCTAAAAGTGCCATGAATTGGAATCCCCAGGGAATTGAAGTAAGTAGCTAAAATCAGTTTAGACGTAATTATCACATCTCTCTGGTAACCTGAATAAATGGGAAATTATCCCTAATGACCTATGGAGAAAAATACATCAGATAATAATGAACATACATCTTGGATTTTCTTGAGGAATCTCCTCAGTATTTGTAATACTGTAAAGTGCAAGTACTCAGCATGTAATATTTTGATGCTTCAGGAGATAAACTGGAGGGAGGGGCTGTGTTTGCTTTGTGCCTGTGGGGTTTCGGGGATTTTTTTGTGGTTGCCTTTGTTAAGAAAGGCTACTTCCCATACATCTCCTTTCAGAGATATACAACCTCAACCTGTTAGGTGAAGAAAGTTGGAAGCCAAAATATGGCATATAGCCCCATTTCTTGAGTCAAGTTTGGTCCTACAGTGAAGAGATGCCAACATGGGTGAAAGTCCTATGGAAGGTTACTACATACTTCAGCTATTACTTGTTCAGTAAAGGTCCGTTTCCAACCTTTAAAATATTCCCATTAGGTATAGGCCAGTTTAACACGTCAGCACAAACTCTACCATCTAGAAAGGCCCTAACATGAAAAATGTTAGGAGGAAAGATAAAAAAGTGCATTGAATCCTGTATGCTGTATTTCCTTTTGATTTTCTATTAGTAGATTGCTTGGGTTGCAGAATGGTGGTGCAAAACCAGCTAAGCTAGTTCTGCATCAGGTATCTGAGATGTGGAAAACCATAGCTTTGTTTATATATAAAAAAAAAATCTTTGTTTATAAAAGCTTTGTTTATAAAACAAAGCTTTATACTTCCTTGCTAAAAATTGATGTTATCACAAAGCTATCTGTGTTTCACTAATCCTACTGTTCTCTATAGATCTGATAGTATTTTGATGGTCAGAAGCTTCCTCAAGACCAATAGAAGGCTATACTGTTTCCTCATAACACCTGCATTATAGAATCCCTTAATGAGCCACCAAGGAGTAATACATAGATGCCCTGAAGTGAATGAGAACAAAGATTTGTTATTAAGTTACCAGCTGCCACAGTAGAATTGAAAAGTACAACTAATTAAGAAGCAATGGTGGATTTCTAGTAGTTTTCTACTTAACCCCATTAAGTAATATTTAACATAAATAGTTTTGCCCCAAACGTTGTGGAATTACAGCTTCTCTCACTGCTCAATGACAGTGGCTCTAAGGCAGAGTTTGTGTAATGTGATGTTAGCAAATGCCTGTAGACTGGGACAAGGAATCATCAAAGGGGTCAATGTAAGGTCATCATTAAAGATGTTAAATTTTGCTGCTATGACAAAGTCTGTTACTTCCCATAGAAAGATCAGAGGATGGTATCATAGATGTTCAAACTGTCTCTGAAGGAAAATATCACACTGGAGTCCAGTGTGGAGCAGTTCATAGATAATACCATCTGCATTTCGTCCAGGCAGTAAATCTACTGCCTTCTGTGTCTCTTCTTGTCTTTGTCCCTCTCTTCCCTTTATTCCATTTTCTCTCAACTGTGCTCTCTGGCTTCTCTGTTTCAGCTGAGATCTTTCTTATGCCCTTTCCATTCATTGCTCTGTCTATACTGTCCTTAATACACTAGAAAGTTTACTGGGTATTCTGTGTTTGTTCTTCTGGCCATATAATAGTCCTAATCTGGTTTAGGTTAATACATAGAAATTGTCAGTGTCTTGTAAGAGAATATTGTGTTTCTAGAAAGAAAATGTTTTGTGACAGTTAGCTCTGTTAGGCTGGGGAACTGTCTCCCTGGAAAAATAACATGCTTCATTGCTGGGGCCCTTCTCTGTTGGACAGGCAAAACATTGTAGTACTTGCTGCAAGAGGTGCCCTTGCTTTGATCTTAAACTGAGTGTTTACATATGCTGTGCTCTCTTCATGAGGAAAGATTGTGATGGGGGCATCCTTCTATCCAGCTGAGAGAGTCCAAAAGCCATTTCTTAGGTCACTGAGTACAGCTGTTGCCTTCAGTTCATGAAAATGCTGATTAATTAGTGTTTGGGGTTTTTTGGTCACTAATAAAATGCCTCAGAGGGACACAAAAAAGTATTCACATGTGTAGATTACCATGAGCCAACAGACAACTTGCAGTCCAGAGTCCTCACTCCTGTACATCTCTACCCCATTGCCAGTTCTTGAAGGAGATGTGGGGTGGCCATTGCCTAAGCAGTCTAGCACTGCCTCTTCTGCCTTTGAACCCATCAGGTGCTCAAAACCTAAAATGGTCTTCCTGTTTCTGGGTAAGGGGAAGGAAGGTGAATCCCTTCCAGCAGCAACGGTCACTGCATGACCTTGATCTGTGAGAGCCTATAGTGAAGGCAGTTCTCAGAACTGAGACACAGACACAGTAACTGGGAAATCTGTGATGAGTCAATATATCCTGGTTTACATATTTTTATTTTCTTTTTTTTTCTTCTTTTTTTTTTTTTTTAATCTAAAGAGCTTGTGAATATAATACAGTAAAAATTTGTTTCAGAAAAAATGTGGAAAAAATTCTAGGAATGTCAGAAAACATCCAACTTCAGCACTTTTGAAACAAGGCCTTTGGTTGTCATCCCTTGAAATTTTTTTTTTTTACATGAGTTTGCTATTATAATACATGTTACAGACAAAAAAAAAGTTTAATCAAGTGTTTGAAGGATTTTCTTTTTAAAAAGAATCTCAGCCTGCTGGGATTTCTTTCCTGTTTCTGAAATGTCAAAACCCTGTTACAAGGAATTTTTTTTCCATGCAGATCTGCTAGATACACTGGGTATCATGGTCCTCTACAGGCTTCCATGTGTGTTATAATTCAAATCACAGTTGTGGGAAAGCATCATGCATGAAGAAAGAGAGAGGAGTTAAACATTACAGTTTGTGTATCACACCACCTCAGAAAATACAGGGGACAATGTCTTACCTTCTATCCATTTTGCCATCTGACTCTAAAGAGAGAACAGGAAAATGTGGTCAGTTAAGAAACCAGGAACAGACGGGTGATAGGCCTGCTCAGAATTGTGACGAACAGAATTGCAACCAGAACATAGCTGCAGATGGTAAAGATCTAGCCATCTTTTCTGAGGCAAAACTCTTCGGTAATTAGTAGTGTAATGCAACTTTCCTAAAGCCTTTCTTGATTCTTCCAGCTGGAATATCTCATGTCAGTTTGCTCAGAGCTGTGTCTTTGATAATGTTTTGGCTATTTTGAGTTTGATTGTAGCACATCCCCCGAATGTCATGAGAAACAACTTTGAGGGCAGATGCTTGATGAGAATGAGGAGGAAGTGGTTTTCCTTCAGGCCTGCTCTGTAGTGCCACTGAAGAAAGCATCAGCCATTTGTCTTTCAGGAAGTGGCATTACTGTAATTCGTATCCTCATAGGGTACCTGGGGAGTCTGTTTGCAAAATTATCCTTTAAAAGACCAGTGTTTACTGTAAACAGGATGGAATCGGGTGGTGACTGATAGGATGAGCTCACCATAGCAGTACTGGGACCAGAGAGCTCAGCCCACTAGTTAAGACCACTCTGCTCTCCTCTTTACTAAGCAACAGTCTGTGACTACTGTTGAAATGTGTCATGGTGCATGCTGACTTACTAAAGTTGGACAGTCCTGGATGCTGGAAAATTAACTCTCATTTGTCACCTGAAGGTTAATGCAAAGAACTAGCCCTAGAAGCAAACATTTCTGGATACCAACAGATGGACGAGCAGCTCCTAGTCCTGTGCTGCAGCAGACTGACTGAGCTGTCTCACTGCATTTACCTTGTTTAATGTGTGACTCATTTCTCATGGTGGAAAATGGCTACATTTATCAGATTTTCTCAGTTTTTAAGAGTGAACCACATGAGCTAGTACTCTGCCTGCAACCAGAGCTGCAAAGGTGCTTTTTTGAAGTTCACTATGGAGAAGTCATACAGAGACCAATGCTTTCAGTCCCCAAACTCTCTTGTTACAGTCCCTCTTCTTTCAGTAAGGATCATTTGCACACATATTTAATGAGATTGCCTAATTGCTTCCATCTCTGCTACAGTTTTCGTCCAAGCCAAATTTTCATGTGCTACTGAGTACAGACCTCTCTTGACAAGCAAATGTATGTTGCAAAGATTCATCTTAACAAAGTTCCAGGACTCTTTTTTTCCAAAAAAGAACAGCTTCTACCGATGTTCTGGTCAACCTGTTAGGATTTTGCATTTCCTCATATGCCACTATCTGTTGCTATTGTATTTGCTAAGCTTTTTTATTTCTAACTCTTAATTGCTGTGTGCTGTTACTTCATTCCACAAACAGCAGTATTTCAGCAGTGGAAGAAATCATCACAATATTTGCTCTACAGTGCCCTGTGAAGCACTTTGTAGTCCTGACAAGTAAGAGAGGCTCTGTGCAGAGGATGGAGGGCTGTGGGATCAGCATTGCCTCTGGGGAGGCCCATGTGACAAATTCTGCCTGTCACTAACTTCTGTCTATTGAAATGATGGGCATTATTCAGTTTAAGATTTTGGATTTGAATCCAAACCCATGGGTTGTAAACTGCTGATCCAAAGTCTAAAGGAGTTGTTTCTACCAGCAGTTATGATGTTAGATCAAAGAGCTTTTGCTTGTTTCAGATGAAAAACATGCTTTTCTGTAACAGCTTGAAAACCAGTCACAGTGGAAAAGTTATAGGGAATTTTGCTATGTACGCTGATGGAAGCTACATATCTTAGAGTCAAGCAGTTGGATTTGAAGGAAAAGTCCCGAATCAGTGAAATAAATAGTAGTTTTGGCTAGGAAGAATGGCAGCCCATCCTGCAAATCCAGCAGGCTCTTTCAAATCCAACAGGCTCTTTAACTTATGTTGAATAGACACAATTTTGTTTTAAAAAATAATTATTCTAAAAGATATCCAAGCAGTTTGCTGAAGTGAATTCTATTGCTCTTGTAAGGCCAAAGAGCAGAGTTGCTTATACTGAAATGTGAGTTTATGCAGTTCTAGGGACTCCAGCACTTCAGACACTTTTAAAATAGTTCTTCAAAGGAAAACCAGAGCTGTAGTACATACACATTTCCTAACACTGAAGCTCAGATCTGCTGTTTCAGAACATAAGGAGATCTAGATCTCTGGATAAGAAATCAGGAGTATTTTTTCTTACCTCCAAAGACATTGTCAATCATTTGGGTTTTGATCATGCAGATTATTACTGCTACAAAACCAATTGCTAGAAACGCTCCCAGAGTAACTCCTATAATAACATACGTAAAATCTGAAAGATTGAAAACAAGTCAGTGAGTACACACCATTAAATAATAAATAAAGTCTTTGTGTTTCAAATGTGACATAGTTTCCAAAGTTTAAATGCATCCCCCCCAAAAAAGAAAAAAAGAATGTATTTCTTCAGCAGGGCCTGGTAATGCTGAGTCAGACTAGATAGCTGAGAAAAGTCTACGCTTGAATCCCCTGCACATCAAGAAAACCTGTGAAGCTGTGGGTAAGGGGTTCAATGCTGATTTGTGAAAATGAACAGCTTCAGTCTTTGTCACATACAGGTCTCATCTGAGTTTTAGACCTAGGGTTCTACTTTTCCCCCAAAGTGAATTCCCCATCCCCACTCCCATGCCACTCTGTATCCTGTCATCCCACTCACCAGCCTCCTGCCTTGCCTGACTATTCTGCCTCTCTAAGTCTTCAATGGGAGGAAGCAGGAGAATTTTAAAGTGTAAACTATGAACAATATAGTGATTTTTGCATCACTGTGTCTCTACAAGAGTCTACCTTCATCTGTCAGGCAGGAGGGTGACTGCGTTCAGGATCTGTGTTGCAGCTTCTGTTCTTCCTATGCTCATTATATTTACCTAAAAGTAATTTAAAAGCTCCAGTCACACAGCAGCATTCTGCTGTGCTAGGCAAAGTGCAAACGTGCAATCAGATTATGACCTTCTACACATAACAAGTACATAAAGTCTTCTAGGCACATTCATTTTTGTTGCATTTGCTTTGCCCCTAACTTCCTGTCTGGAAGTGAAAATCTCACCATGAGCTTACCTATTTCTTCCTCAGAGTTTCCAGAAGCATTGACCTTTGCTCTCCAAATATCTGCAATTGAAATATTTTAGCCTGTTAGGATATCAAGGATAATGCTCTGTATTCAAGGAGAATGCCTTATCTGGCTATTTCCAAGGGGATAGTTGATCCTGGTAAAGCTTAAGGATCTGAGGCTTCCTGGAGTAGTTAAGTGTTATCAGTCAAGTTAATGAAGATGTCCTAGGAATGTGGCCACCACGTGGCAGTTTTTGGACAGAATAGAAAGTACAATTTAAAAATTTTATGTTGTTTTAGCACTGTTTCCATTCCAGAGTTTCCTCTGCAAGCCTGAGAGCTGTATGCAAGACAAGTTGCTATAAATCAAGGAAAAGATTACAGATGCAGTAAAGCTAGTAAGACATGCTAGCAAAAGAGGATATGACATACCATAGAACCCCTCTCCAGAAAACATGAGTTCCAATCCTGTCTGTAGTTGCAGTCTTCAAAATGTGATTTACTGCTGGCAGAGAAGAGAATAGTTTCCTCTTGCAAGGAAATGTTATGAGCTGAAAGCAACCTATACAGAGACTCCCATGCCAAGTTCCCTGCTCATCAAAAGGACATCCTCTCAGCTCTTCCCTTCTCCATAAAGCCACTGAGCTGAAATTGCTAAAAATGTACACTCAAATGTTTTTTTCAGTGATGGGCATGCAAGGATATTTCCACCAAATTTTCCACTTTTCAAGTAGCTCCAAATGACATAACTGATGTGCAGCTGCATGAGGGGCCTGGAGCATGAGAAGGCTTTAAAGGCAGATATGACTCCAACATTTCAAAACAGCATGCTGTGAAATTTCTGTCTCCTGTACATGCTTCAGGAAGAACATGAAGTCCTCTCCTGCAGCTATTGATTGCTCTTAGGCAATCCACTGCCTGAGTGACAGTACATATGGACCTGGCGGGAAGATAGCTGTTTTGCATTCAGCATTGTCTTTTCATAGGCGTTCCCTACTATAGTGGGGAATTGTGAGGGAGTATCATCTGACTGAAACTCAAGCGGAATTTTAAGGTCTTAAATGCGTCCAGTTTTCCTTCTGCTAATGTGTCCAACATTGTAAGTCTCAGCTCGCCTCTCCTCTCTCTCCAAGGTTTCTTGTGGAGAAATAACTCTGTCTTCCTGAGGTTTTGGGGGCTGTGCTTTCATTTCTTGTCCAGTAAAATGAATGCTAGAAATGTGATTGCTTTTAAACTTGAAGCATAGTCCTCCCACTCCAAAACCAGCCATTTTGGTACCTTTACAGAAATCTGTCTTGTGTCTGCTTTTCAGACTGCTGAAACTCTCTTGAGCCGAGTGTGGGCTCTGGGGCTTCCGTGGTTATGTCAGAAAAATCTGATATATTGGGTGGCTCACAACGGATTTGTTTATATTTCCTGGTCTTAATCACATTTCTAATCCCAAATTTTCATAAATTACAAACCAAGCTTGAAAAATCTGGAGACGAGCTTAAAAAAACCTTGAGTTTTAAATCAAGTGTATTTTGGGAACTATAATTCTGAGCTGAAAGTCCTTTTTTGTGCCAAACTTTTCTTCATAATTAAAATGTCTGGAAACTTATTTTATGCAAGCAGAAAAGTTTTCTCTCCAAAAACCCCATGACACTCAGAAAAGACTGTTGGGAGGGGTGGGGAATCCAAGTGCAGATAGGATCAAAAAAGATGGCTATACTAAATAACCAAAGTTAAAGTTACAAAGAAAAGGAAATTAAAAAAAAAAAGTCTAGGATAGGACTACACAGTGGGTGTAAGAAGCACAGCTCCTGATTTTCCAGATTAAAACCCAGTCTCTTTGCTCTCGCCTGTGAATTTATTTCATTATAAATTAAAAAAACCCCTTTCTTCCATCCCCTTAATTATTCTTTGTGCTCATATGAAGAATGTTTTAAATTCAAACATAATAAAAGTAATATTGTATTACTTTTATTATCCTGATGATCATAATACATAGACCTTAATGTATGCTTTCTAATGGAATTAAACCAGTGACAGATTATGTGTTTTATGGCAGAAATAATATTTTACATGGAATATTTTATGTAGGTCAGTTTAATATATTGAGATTAAATTATTAGTTTCTTCTTTTTAAAAAGGGAGGGAGGGAGATCTCTGAAGACCCACAGGACTGGAGAGAACATTTTCAATTCATACTTTCAATATGGTTTTAATTAAGGTTTAATATCATTTACTGGATGCTGCTTAAATACCGTTTGCTTTTGAGGACTGTATTAGATAGTCATCTTCTGTTCATTTCAGTTTTTTTCTTAGGTGGGAAAAAAGTGAATTGACTAAGTCCAATACACACATGTTGCTGTTTGACCTAGATCCCATCTTCAATTTATATTTTTTGGGTATGTACACTAACATCCTGGTACAGAGGGGTTAGAAATGTCACCTCCTATTCTGCAGTGCTCCCGTCCTGGTGCTAGCTTCCTGACCCCTTGTCTCTGTATACTGGGTTTAGACCAACTCCCACACCTTGAACAAACCCTCTGGACTTGGAGAATATTTACTTCTGGGTAGAAGAGCCTTGCAGATGAATTTGATATCTATACTTAAGTGACTCATGGATCATATTTCAAAGGGTCTTGAAGCATCTGACAGTGCTTTCTCACCTCTTCTGTGTGCTTGGCTCAGGATAGTGTGCGACTGCCACTATAATAGAGATGTGCTCCCTGGGACCCTGAGAGCACTGGGAGGCTGTCAGGAGCCACAGGCTGTGTCTCCAACTGGTGGGGGAAAGTTTTTGTGTGTGTGCTGTTGGCAGTAAGTCTAGAGATGAGATTACAGACTAGACAGGTCTTACAGAGGTGGTGGGATGGAGAAAGAGTAAGTGTGAATCTGCTGTGGCAGCCTGCCTGAGGAGCTGGGCTCAGCTGGGTATGCCGGAGCCAGGCATGCAGCTGAGGAAGCTTTTGCTTCTGCCTGCCTACTGCAGTCCTCTGCCAGTACAGTTACCTCCCTCAAGGTACACCTATGACCAGGTGGTGGACCCACAAATAAATACACCAGGCTGGAAACCCCTGGTCTGTGATCTCAGTGAATCCCCAGGCAGGCTTAGATGTCCTCAGACCTGCTGTGCATGGAGCTGGGCTAAGCAGAAAACAGCTTTTGAGTCATATCAAGGGACATCCTGTTCTCCCCTGTGCCCTCTGCTACCTAACTGTGCTCACATGGTGCCTTGCCTGTCGGTCAGCACAGTGAGGAAAGTGGTGCAGAACACAATTTGGTCATAAGATCAGGGAGTAGGAATAGCTCACTTTCCCCACCTTATGAGACATTGTGAACAACTAACAGCCATAACCTGTGTTGATAAACAGCAACATGTGCCTTGTCTTTCTCAGTGCTCAGCACTTGCCTTAGTCTCTTTGCTTCTGTTCCCTCCTGCTTCCATGTGACTTTCTTCTCCTTTCCTCCTCCATCTCAGATTTCGCCTCATTGCAACAGATAGTGGCTGGTTCTGTGGTGTTGCAGTAGCCAGGGGTTCAGTGCCATTCATCTTTGGGGCAGCAAATGAGAAAGGAAGCAAGTATCTGTGAAACTCAGAGGTATGGTGGAAAAAAGGGATGATTTACAGTCTGAGCAACTCCAGAGTCAAATAAGGAATACCCATGACAACAAAGAGGTTACAGGCAATGATCCTGCTGGAAACCATTCCTGAAAGCCATTATTAAGTAAAGAAAGGTATTTTGGCTGGTATTTAGTGTAGCAAAATTCCCAGCTACATGTAAATTTCATAAGATAAACACTGGCAGCCAGGCAAATCGGGTCCTTCCTCGGTCCTCAGATTAGAGTCAAAATCCTGCTTTGTAGTAATCGATGAGGACAGGAATCAATCCTACATGCAGACAGGAATTTTTTGAGATTTAGTCCTTTCCAGGCACCCCTCCATCCAAGGCTTATAGATTTGCCATTGACTACACCTATCCATGCAACATTGGAGGTGTGTTGATGCATTTTCCTTGTATCTATGGGAAAGTGCCTTGTGTCTTGCTGCTCTTGAGTCTGCATCTCTGTGCTCTAAGCAAGCACTACTGTATTAATGGGACTTGTCTCATCTGATTGTTGAGCAATAACTATTCAGTAACTAGGGAGCAGTCATTGTTAACTTCACATCTGTAAGAATGTTGCTTACCCATGTCCTGTCTTGTGGACAGTCTCCATTCCTCTGGACTCTTGGAAGTGTCTACAGGAAGGTGCAAAGATCTTGAAGGGTAGTGAGAGTGACAAATTCCTATGTGTACCTTGAGAAGGACTACAAGAGGATAGAGCACTGCCGTAGATCTATGGATACTTTTGCTTGTAGAAGCTGAAGCATATCATAGAATCATGGAATGGTTTGGGTTGGAAGTGACCTTAAAGGTCATCCAGGTTCAACCCCCCTGCCATGGGCAGGGACACCTTCCACTAGATCAGGTTGCTCAAAGCTTCATCCAGCCTGACCTTGAACACCGACAGGGAGGGGGCAGCCACAACTTCTCTGGGCAACCTCTAGTGCCTCACCATCCTCACAGTAAAGAATTTCTTCTTTATATCTCATCTAAATCTACCCTCTTTCAGTTCAGAACGGTTACTCCTTGTCTTATCACTATGCTTCATGGAAGTCCCTTCCATCGTTCCTGCAGGCCCCCTTTAAGTACTGGAAGGCCACTATAAGGTCTCCTCAGAACCTTCTCTTCTCTACGCTGAACAACCCCAACTCTCTCAGCCTGCCCTCATAGGGAAGGTGCTCCAGCCCTCTGATCATCCTTGTGGCCTCCTCTGGACTTGTGTGAGCAGGTCCATGTCCTTCTTATGCTGGGGTCCCCAGAGCTGAACACAGAACTGCAGGTGGGGTAGAGAGTGGAGTAGAGGGGGAAAATCACCTTCCTCGACCTGCTGGCCTCACTTATCTTGATGCAGCCCATGATAAGGTTCATTTTCTGGGCTGCGAGTACACATTGCTGGCTCATAGTCAGTTTTTCATCCACTACTACTCCCAAGTCCTTTTCTACAGGGCTGCTCTCAATCCACTCATTACCCAGCCTGTATTTGTGCATGGGATTGCTTTGACCCATGTGCAGGACCTTGCATTTAGCCTTGTTGAACTTCATGAGGTTTGCATGGGCCCACCTCTCAAGCCTGTCCAAGTCCCTCTGTATGGCACATCCCTTCCTGCCCGCATGTCAAACACACCACACAGGTTGATATCATCAGCAAACTCGCTGAGGGTGCACTCAATCCCACTGTCCATGCCACCAACAGAATTGTTAGACAGCAGGGGTCCCCTGAGGAACACCACTTGTCACCGGTCTCCACTTGGACATTGAGCTGTTGACCATAACTCTTTGAGTGCGACCATCCAGCCAATTCCTTACCCACTGAGTGGTCCATCTGTCAAATCCATGTCTCTCCAATTTAGAGATACAGATGTTGTGCAGGACAGTGTCAACTGCTTTGCCCAAGTCCGGGCAGATGATGTCAGTTGCTCTTCCCTTAACCACCAACACTATAACCTCATCAT